AACGCTAATTTTAACCAACTAGCAACAAAAAGTTGTGGTACACAATGAGAACTTAACTTTTTTTCATGGTTTAGGTGCAGTGGTAGAAAATTAGGGCTATGGTAGATACTGTAGGACACTATAGGATACCGTATAAATTAAAAGACAAAAATTTCTTAAACCGTGTCCTCTCCCATAACTACAATAAGCATTTATACTTATATGCCAACCCCGTACGAAGGACGGGTACTCTGCTAGTAATTTATAAATAAAAAAACTTTTTTAAAACAAAACGTTTTTAAACGTTCTAAAAAGTTGAAAATAATTGATAAATATGTGGAGTGTATAAATACTTGTAAGATTTCAAACAAAAAGCTTAGGGTGCAAACGGTGCATGCAATAGCTAATTTACAATAACCTAACCTATTGAACTAATGTATTATCATCAATTGCATGCACCCCATGTTTTTCGTTTTAAATCTTACAAGTATTTATAATCTCCACATATTTATAAATTATTTTCTACTTTTTAGTGCGTTTGAAAGCGTTTTGTTTTCAAAAAGCTTTTTATTTGTAAATTATATTTTACTTTTTAGTGTTTAATGTGTGTGTGGATGTTAAATCTATTTCAAGCACCTACGGTATCAGTTTAAGTCAGGGGCATGTGTGAAACCTAAGGTTTATTTGAGTTTCTTTCCATATAATTATGTATTACATTGAATGTATGGCCTACCTACTGTACTAACTAAAAATATATCAATCTATTTAATTTATTGTTTACTTTATAGAATACTAAATAAATAACAATTTACATTATTAACAAACACCTTTATATCTGCACTAGCTGTACCCGCGGGCTTTGACCCGTTTAACTTCATAAGTGAGCTCGTTCGCATGGCTCAATCACGTCCTGGTTGAAGTTTGTTCGCTACGCTCACTCACCTTTTGGTTGCAAATTAGCTGTTGTCATAAATGTAAAAAAAAAAAATAGTGCTGCACCCTGTTGGTAATGCTTGCAACTTTTAATGCTATTGAACATCATAGAACAGAACCAACATGTTTAATTGAAACAGCTGTTAAGATTCATTAATCCCATTTAAATATGAGAACTCATAAGGGTTAACATGGGAAACTCCAGAGCCACTGGGGCGGAGCCCGAGAGTCCGATCAGAATAAAAACAGTCTAAAGAATCGGTGTACCAAATTTCAGCCTCCTAGGTAAATGGGAAGTGGGAGAATTAGTGATGAGTGAGTGAGTCAGTGAGGGCTTTGCCTTTTATATGTATAGATTCAGATTTTTTTTCTTTATTTTGAAATACTTACTTTCCGTGTCCGGAAATCAGACTTCGCTTTTCCAAAAATTAGCTACCGATATGGCTTTGTCATTCGCATGTAAAAGATCATCTAATGTGCAAGACTGGTCTACGCGTGGGCAGATTAGCAGATGGCCAGGATCCTGAACAGCACCACACGCGCACAAGATGTTTTCTTCGTCTGGTAAGAGACCCCATTTCTGCATCTTTGTCTTGCATTTTGGTACCTCGACCCTAATTCGATTTAGGGTCTTCCACGCCGTGTAATGAAGGCCTCCACCTGGAGCCAGTTCCTCCCTGGCTGGTATGGGAGGGTTAGTCAACATGGCCTCCCACCTTGCCACCCGATTGCTTGAGAGTAATCCATCCAGGACTCGTGTCCTTGATAAAAAGCTCTTTCTGGACTGAAGCCGTCGATCTGCAGGTTGGTGGCCGTGTAATGGGTGACGAGGGTCTGTCTCTTGCTTAGTCCTTTCTGCGTCGGCAGCGACATGACGTCGGATTGATGGAGATCCCTATGATAGGATAGAGTTTGTGTACTGGGGTCACACCCAGTTTCAAACACCCAGTTACAATCCGAGCCATGTCATTGACTGCAATGTCAACCTTTTTTGCATGTGACGATGCATTCCATACTGGTGCAGCGTACTCTGCAGCCGACACACTAAGCGCTAAAGCTGAGGTTCTGAGGACATTAGTGTTAGCACCCCAGCATCTGCTGGTGAGCTTCCTGATGATATTATTCCTCGCTGAGACTTTACCTCTTGTCACAATACAATGCGCCTTAAATGTCAGTGTGCGGTCCATTATAACACCAAGATATTTGGGTGTAGGACAATGCTGAAGACGGTCTCCCCGCCAACTCACATTTAACTCACGGCCTGCTTCTCTATTGTTTAGGTGAAAGGCACAAACTTGGGTCTTAGCAGGGTTCGGCTTGAGGTGATTTGCGTCATAGTACTGGGAAAGTTCATTTAGAGTCAGCTTCTGTTCCACCTCTTCAAAACTCCTACCTTGTGCCGCCACCGCCGTATCATCGGCATATATATACTGACGTGTAGCGTTTGGCAACGTTTGGTCGTTAGTGTAAATGTTATAAAGAGCTGGGGCTAAGACGCTACCCTGAGGCAATCCATTTCTTTGATTCCTCCATCTACATTTCTTGCCTTGAAGGGACACGAAAAACCGCCTGTTATGAAGAAAAGTGTCGATTATTGAAGTCAGTTGATAGTCTTTGGCAATACTGTACACTTTTCCCAAGAGTCTTTGATGGTTTACGGTATCGTAGGCAGCTGTTAAATCTACAAAAGCGACACCCGTGATCTGTTTTCTCTCAAACCCATCCGCAATGTGCTGGGTCAGGTTTAAAACTTGGCCACAACAAGACTTGCCTGATCGTAAGCCTGCTTGTTGTGGAATGATCTTTTGTTCCAGAAAATCGCCGATTCGATTGAGTATCAGACGTTCTAATATTTTATATGTGTGGCATAAGAGGGAAACAGGTCGAAAGTTCTTAGGATGTTTTGGATCTTTCCCAGGTTTGAGCAGTGCAGCCACACGAGCTTTCCTCCATGCCTTTGGTATATGCATTTGGCTTACGCACATGTTCATGAGGCTCAACGACCATTGCATGGCATTTTTACCTAGGTTCTTTAGTTGTTCGACTCTGATCTCGTCAATACCTGGAGCTCTATTAGTCTTTAAGCTGGTAATAACTGCAGTTAGCTCGGACATGGTGAATCTCTTCGGAATGGTGGTCTCTTCCAGGAAGTGACTCTCACTTGCCACATCACGCACAACAGGCTCCCGGTATTTCCTTCCATAGGTTTTGCCATTTAAAAGAAGGTTGGTAGCGACTTGATCAGCAGTAACTGTTGTAAAGTTGTCTTTTGGTTTTGCCGCATCTCCATTTATGTTCTTGAGGAACTTCCAGACCCGTCTGCTGTTCACCTGCATATCTAAACTCTCCACAAGATCACACCACTAGTTTTGCGATTTTAGGCAATGACTGACATAAGCTTTTCACCTGCTAGAAGTGTGTCCTCAGCAAGCAGTGGCTTTGCCTCTTCAGAAATATTTGAAATATTTGTTTGTGTAAAGAATCTCTTGGGAGCATAACCTGTACCTCTTAACATCTGCTCTTCGAACTGTCAAATTTAAGTATTTACAGCTGACTTAAATTAATTGATATATTTACAATCTTTCAAAATGTAAACACGGAAAATTTGGAAGCCCATGGGGGCGTAGCCCAAGGGAAAATGAAATGATATACTAAAATATTGCATTGTCATCCAAATATTACGTTAAAACAACAAGTAAAATGGGTAAAATGTATGGTATATTTTAGTGTTGCGGAATAAAACTCCGCATGCGCCAACTCCTGTTTTACTGGTTGAAGGCGCCTCCTCGAGGGTTAATGTACCTATTTGTCCAGAATACTAATCCCATTGTATCTCCTTTCACTTAGATTTACACGACTAAACTTAATATTTTTTAATAGCACAGTTTTGTTCAAGGAAAGGCTCTAGGCCAGGATTTTGAATTGTAGAAAAAGGAGAATATCAGCTTGCTTACCTTGAAAGTGTAGGTAGGCCATAGAACAATAGCACGGTTATTTCTCCCATAACTATTACTTTATTGAAACGTGTTGTGTATCCTAAAGTAACACAAATCATTGCTTGGTGTTTTATTGTAATTCTTATAACTCTCAAAATCCATAAACAGTTGCAGGTTTACAATATCTGCGATTTTTTCACCAAGCAAAAAGTACGGTACGTACATATACTTTTCTGCTTTTCTCAAATCTCCAGTAAAGGGCCTTATTAAAACTCAATATTACACCTACAAACACATATCCTGAAAACCACAACAAATAGTGTAAATTAGGGATGGTCAAGTCTCGAAATTTCGGGAAATTTTCGGGAAATTTTAAATCTTGTTACACGAGACGAGATTTCTTTTTGGCCGAGATTTTTATCGAGACGAGAAAAAAAAAAAAAAAATTAAAAACGCCTGCAGAAAGTCAATGCAATACCCGCAATACAGGAGCGTGTTGTAGTTGCGTTTCCTTTGCGAAGGCGTTCTTATTTAATTAATTCTTCAAATGTAAATATTACTTTAATTATTTAATAACATTTGAGAAGTTTTGTTAAGTGTTAGCAGTGTGAGGAATGTTTTATTACTATAAAAAAAGGCAAAACAAGTAACTATTTTATCAAAATTAATATTTTATTTTATGATTTATTTTATTTTAGGATAAGTTGAACTCTATTCTAACTGATATCACTATGTTTCCTAATCGTAGGCATTTTTAATAATTTAGGCATGATTAATAAAAAAATGTTATGCTGATGTTTTTTAATAAAAGATTGTAAATATTCTTGCCTATTATCATTATTTTTGTATTTAAACAGTCATCTAACAATGTTACAAAATCAGGTAAAAATTCCGAACGTGCATTTCCCGTTGTGTATGAGAAGGGAAATCCCGTCTCGATCTCGTCTCGAAATTTTATGAGAAATAAAAAATCTCGTCTCGTCTCGTCTCGAACTAAAAATCCAATCTCGTCCATCCCTAGTGTAAATATATCCATTTTACAGTGAGTGAGTGCTATTTGCCTTTTAAAACTACGGTAAGCTATAGATTTTTCACAAAACATTATTTATAGTCCCACAAATTTATGACAAGAGTTTTTTTTTACTATTTCAGAGTCTATTTTGATTACCTACAACTTCAGGATACTCGGTTTATAAACTGTATTCAACCTACTGAAATGTTGGCCATGACTTTGAGGTAAGCTCTATTTTACAATATTTTATACAGGGGTGCCCATCCCCCCCTAGACTCATGACGCACCCCCCCCCCAATTGAGCAACAGCCCCCCACCACCATAAATGAGGTACACAACAAATGAGAAACATTATTCCCCCGCCCAGTACGATTTGTAAAACTAAAAGAAGTTTTATACATTTTTCTTAGATATTTAAAATTCAAACCCAGTTAATCTATATAAATAAAGTTATAGTTTTGTCTGTACATTGCTCAGAACTATACATATTTTGGGTTATTTTTACGTTTTATACATTGAAGAAGTTGAAACATGTCTTATCTCAATTTACGTCTGTCTGTCACGGCCCAGAAGGCATTTTACGCAGCCTACTCTAAAGAAAACTAGAGTACCGATTATGATTCTAATGGTTTAATTGTATTCACAAGATTGGCGAGAGTGTCCTTATAGCCATTAAAATATGGCCTCACTATTTTGGAAATAAAATAACGGACGATCAAAAACCCAATTTTGTGTGATTTTTCTAGTTTTTTCTCCATGTTTACTACATACGTCATTTATGAAATACTAATAATCTGTTAAGGGAACACGTCATTATATGAAATTACGAACAGCTGTTTTTATAAAGATTCCTTTTTCTAGCTGTCACTGGTATGTTTACATTTTTTTTTTTACAGCATAATTTATTTCTGGTTCAATGTAGACATTATACACAGAAGTGTTAACAAAATTAATAAGAAATGAACTATAATTAACATCGTGGGTTCGCCCAAACCTGAGTCACCCTGTAACATAATTAATTTAGAGAATAATTTAATCTTCTTTAGGCATCATTCCTCGAATAGATCTTGAGGGAGCCTTCGACGTAGCCTCCTGTTCTCAGTTGCTTCACCAAGATGAAAGGTTGCACTAGGAACATCGTTTAAATGTTGTTTACGAATACTGTTTAGGCTCTAACCACTTCCGATCACGTTTGTAAGCAAATCCAAAACCAAGTGAGATTAATAACCGTGTGGCTTTGGCTTACATAACGGGTTTGATTTACCACGGGGTACTAATATGTAACTGTAAATTAAATTAAATAACTAGCCATCGTCCAGGTCGGGAACCGGAGATTCTGTGTGTATCAAGTTGTACTTGAGTTTTGGTTACCGGGAAAAGACCGTGAATCAGTGTTGTACAGGACTGGAAAACTTATCTTTCTATATAAATAAAATTAGAGTTTTATAAGTCACCTCAATTTAAGGAATTTTTAATGCTAGAATATCTATATAGCGTATGTAACCTCTGCTTAACGAATTGTCAGCCTTTCTCTTGATATAACGATCCCCTCTCCCTCCCTTTGGAAACATCACAGCTCCTTTGATGAAAATGAAACGACGCTTGCGCCAACAATCGTCTGCTCCGTTTTACACTTCACTGTCTGCTGTGCGCTATCACAGACAAGGGGAAACAAAGGCGCTATGTTACAACAAATTTCAGATAAAACAGCTGGGGAATGATGACGATATAAATGCTTAGTAAACTGTGATTGAGTGATAAGTAACCATGGTAACTTTGGTAAGGCTGTGATTGGCCAATGAGTCGGCCTAAATATGGCGACTTGTTGAATTTGTGTATGAATTGAAGATAAACCCAATAAAGATTGTTCTCGTTACATTCTTTTTTAAGAGTGTTTTTATTATCTCTAAATATAATTTTACACTTTTTTATTACTTATCTATCAATTCCTATGCTGTGTACAGCACCTACCGGTAGCCTATCTGTCTATCATAGCAGTACCTTATACTGTAATACTTTTAAAGGTTCCTTTAATATTAACGTTATTTATAGCAATCCAGTGTTTGGCATGGTTATTAATTGAGTTTGGATTAGCTATAATTTTAAACGTTGCCGTTTGTACAACTGAACCAAGATAAATTATTTGAAATGTACAATAATAATGTTATTGCACAATAATAATGATTGTGCAATATTGAATTTCGTTTATAAAAATGCAAATCGTGACGTTAATGGCTGTTTACAACGTTTTAATGGGTTTGTCATCTGTATCTATCACAGTAGTTGAGCCATCCCGTGCCCTCCCTCTTATATCTCACATCTTGCTAATCTTGAATAATAATTTCATACTCGAATCCTAAACTATCCTAAAATCCTATTTTAACTAATTGAATTCATTAATATAACTATTGTCATTAATCGACTTTCTATCTGGCGACTTCGTAATATAGTCGTCACGTTGAACACTGTTGCAACTAACTTTATTCACCCCCCCCCCCCCATTTGAGTTTTTTGAGCCCCCCCCCAAGAATTTCAATGACGCAGTCTGCGTCACAGCCCCCCCTTGTGGGCACCCCTGTTTTATAGTAATGTTTTAACCCGTTTAAAGCCGTAATGTAAAGTTAATGTGTAAAATATTTCCTTTAAAAAATTTAACGTACCTATTTGTTACAGTTGTTTTCTTTTATAGTAGCCTATCTTGTGCAATGATAGAAGTTAAGTGAAATTTCACATCTATTAAAGTTAAAGTCCTCTGAACTCAAGTACAAGACTCTCTACTTTAGAATCAAAGTGGGAGGAAGTCAATACAACTTTAGAACAGTAATTGCTTTATTGGAATTTTTACAAATTGATTTTTTTCATGCCAAACACATTAATTACATAAATTAATCTGCAATTGAAGCTCTAATAGGAGTGAATTAATTAAATGGAGTTGTGTCATTGTCTTCACCTGTCGCTGAATCAGATGTCCTATAGTCCAATCTTGTGGAAGAATTTAATTTATTAATTAATCATTTTAATTTAATAATGGTGGTCTATTGTCTGTGATTAAACTCAAACTAGATAACCCGTTGCTCGAAATCGAGCAAAACTGCAACTTGTAATAAAAGCATAAAGAACAAACACATAAACAACAACGAACTCAATCAAGCACTCTAATTTCTATGACTGATTGTAGAAATATGAAAAATATTATGTTGTAAAAAATTAAAAGTTATCTACAATATTTAAGTATGGATCCGCTCCCATACTGCTTTGGTTATCTGTTATAACAGTTATGTACATTATAACATAAATGTACTGTATGCAGGTGCCCTCTATGAGCACTTATACAGGGAGCGGCAGAAATATCTGACGGTTTTCAAGCGAGTACAGTCCGGCAGCCGAGTGGAGGGGGGTGGTGGGGAGCGGCTCATTCTCAAGGCCAAGTGTGACCATTTTAGTCGCCATGGAGCAGTGGACCAGTATACATCGCGCGTTTGCCGTTGAGGCGTTTTTTAAAAATGGCGATTCTGTTGTTGGTACGCAACGTAAGTTTCGGAGGCATTTTAATGTGGCTCGTGGGGAACCTATCCCATCCCGAAACACCATCAAATTGTGGGTGGATACCTTTAGATCACAGGATCAACTGCAAAACGTAGGCCTACAGGCCGTCCAAGGCCAGTGAGGACGCCTGAGAACGTGGAGCGAGTGCGACAAGCTGTGCTAACGAGCCCGCATCGCCCGGAGCGTAGACAAGCTGCTGCTTTTGGCATGTCTGATCGCTGTCGGGTGAAAGTGAAGGCCTGAGTGCAATATTCGTCGAATATAGCGATCAGACATGCCAAGAGCAGCAGCTTGTCTACGCTCCGGGCGATGCTGGGTCGTTAGCACAGCTTGTCGCACTCGCTCCACGTTCTCAGGCGTCCTCACTGACCTTGGACGGCCTGTAGGCCTACGTTTTGCAGTTGATCCTGTGATCTAAAGGTATCCACCCACAATTTGATGGTGTTTCGGGATGGGATTGGTTCCCCACGAGCCACATTAAAATGCCTCCGAAACTTACGTTGCGTACCAACAACAGAATCGCCATTTTTAAAAAACGCCTCAACGGCAAACGCGCGATGTATACTGGTCCACTGCTCCATGGCGACTAAAATGGTCACACTTGGCCTTGAGATTGAGCCGCTCCCCACCACCCCCCTCCACTCGGCTGCCGGACTGTACTCGCTTGAAAACCGTCAGATATTTCTGCCGCTCCCTGTATGTCAACCACATACTGTAAAGTGAGCTTTTCAGACCTAATGTAGCAAGCTAAATACCTCTCTTGACACCAATCAGTATGACACACTAGCATTGTTAAATTATTTCAACAATATGTTCGGTTTTGGGCGTGTTTTAATTAAGGGCCCCAAACAAAGTCTCTGGTTGGTACCATAAGAGGGAAGCAAGTGGATCTAACGACGGATATAGAAGGGATACGCATTTAACATCTCTGTCCCGGCCAGTCTTTTCTTTCTTAAAATGTAAGCCACCTCAATGTAAACATAAACATTCATTTGTCCGAGGTTGGATGTATCACCACGGCGGTACTGCCACTCTGTGTCCGTCAAATGTTCCATTGGGAGGTTGATGCAAGAGCGCAGGGCCGGATCTAGACAATTTTTGAGTGGGGGCAAACTAAAATTTGCCGCCCCTCCCCCCCCTTCACCCACAACAAAAAATCCCTCACAAATTAAACAAAAATGGAATAGGTAAAGTGGAATAGGTAGATATAACGAATTCCTTGATATAACGAATTTTTTTTAATCCCCTAGAACTCTCCATAAGACACAATGTATATTTTACCTCTACATAACGAACAAACTATAACAACGACCTTGATTTAACGAATTTTTCGTGATTTCGGCTAAAATAAGACACCTCAATAAGTATAACAAATTTATCATTGTCAGAACCTCTACATTGCGAATTTAACCTCTGCATAACGAATTGTCTACGTCTTTCCCTCGATATGACAAATCCCCCACCCAATTATTGTTTTGGGAAAATCTGTTTCTTTATCAAATGAAATGGAAAGGTCACCTCATCGCTTGCGCTAACATTCTTCTGCTCCGTTTTACAATTTACATCTTTGTCTGCTGTCTCTGCGCGCGCTATGTTGCAACTGAGAACTGATTTCATTCACTGAGGACTGATGACGACGTAATGTTTAGTAAGCTGTGATTGGGCGATATGGGATAAC